CCTCAGTTGATAAAGAATGAGTCTTACTCGTAAACTCGTAAGGACTCATAATTTCATCCATTAGTGAGTCAGGACCAATTGGAACTGACAAAGTTTCTTCAAAGTCAAACCTCTGTTTTTGGTGTTCAGGTGAGGTGTCGACAATATACACCCAAGTTTCTTTTATGTATTTGGAGGCGTCGGGCACGGCTTTATTCAATTTGGGATGTGGATGAGGTTTTTGGAGGCAGTAAACGTAGTAGAAGCGAGCGTCTCGCCGCTCCAGGATGATGAGGTCTGCATCGGGTACAACAAACTGTGGATCAATTGGCCCATTTTTTAGCATAAAGTCCCCTCCATCTGAGGGATAACGTGAAAGGCCTGAACTTGATGCATAAAATGCTGTGGCAACATTATGTTCATCCTCTGGTACGATGGTTTCTTCTGTTTCATTCTGCAAAAGCTCTTGATCAATATCATCCAGTGCTGGCGTGTCAGTCATTGACAATTGCAGAAGCGGTAAGACAGATAAGGAGGGCACAAGGCGTGGACGTGTGGTGCAAAGTTGAAGGAAGGCCGTCGTGCTGCGGTGCGTTTATATGCACCTCATTCAACTAACATCCACCTGATTAGAATCCACTACACGACGTCGAGCGATGGCATCCGCTTGCGTATCAGCCACCCTTCCAACATGTTTAGCTGGGTACCCCGTCAACGATGTCGAGCCATCCGCTTGCATATCACTCCTCTGTCTATATGACCCCATCCGCTCGCGTATCACTCCCCCTGGCCAAAACGTTTAGCTTGGGGCGTCGTGTTGTACGTTCATCCGCACCAAGTTCATCGTTGCCTACGTCAACGGCTTCACCAGCACCCTCTGTCTCAAATTCGGCGCCGTTCGCTCGCTTATCACTCCCTCTTTCCAACACGTTACTCTGTCAATGACGTCGAGCCATCTGCTCACGTATCATTCCCCCACATTACCCTGTCAACGACATTCATACCCTGTCAACAACGTCGACCTATCCTCTCACGTATCAGTCCCCCTTTCCAAAACGTTCAGCTCGATACCCTATCAACGACTTTGACACTCCCCCTTTCCAAGATGTTTAACTCCGGTGCGATGTGAGATGACAGCGTGTTTGGGGAGGGAGTTACATGTTAGTTTTTGACGCTTTTTTTGTCAGATTATGTAGTTTCCTCGTGCTGCGTCGAGTAGTCCTGTAGAAGGGACGTACAATACTGGAAATGCAAACTATTAACTAAATCTTTGAGCTCAAGGGCATGATCACCGAAATCAAACAAATGCAAACGAAACCACCGCGCGCGCGGTAGTTTCGTTTGTCCCTATTGACGTCGACCTCCCTTCAGCCACCATCTCTTCTACTTGAAATCTGCTATGGACTCTGACACATCCAGTTCGGCTCACGTGGTAAACTGTCTGTACTAATTCCACTCTCACTAAAGCAAGCACTTACACTGGTTCACCCCTTTCAGGTCCTTCAGAATGCCGTGCTGTCTCACCTGTGTTCTCAGCCTTTCCTTGGGCCACACCACATGTTGTACAAGTGCCAAAGCCTTTGGCTGACTTCACTGAAATAATGTCACCTCACAAGGTACTTTATTTCTCTGTGGCCTCGATTGTAACTTAACAGACTGCTTTCAGCACTTCATCAATTCGCTAAATCGATTTGAGCGCTCGCTCTTTGCCTTTGATAAACTTGCGGTCGATTCTAACGAATTGGCACCGCTTCTAGGCTTAGATGTCCTGAAAGCATCCAATGCGGTCACCC